TTGGCTCTTCACTGGCCTCTGCGCAGGCTGCTCAACCTTTCTGCAGGCCTCTCCAATCTCTGCAGGCCTCTCGGCTCTTCACAGGCCTCTCAGCCCTGAACAGGGCTCTCTGCCAGCCCAGGACTCCTTGGGGCTCTCCACTCTGTACAGGTCTCTCAGCCCTGTGCGAGCCTCTTGACTCTGCCCAGGCCTCTCCACCCAGGCCTCTGTTCTGGGCTAGATCTCCTCACACCTCTCTGCTAGCATAGGTCTCCCCTCAGGCTGGACCCAGCTTCTCTGAGCCCTGTCAGCTGGACCAGACTTCCTGGGGCCCTCTCAAACAATGACAAATACTGGCAGGGATATGGGGAATGAGGAACCGTACTGCACTGCTGGTGGGAATCTAAACCAATACACCACTCTGGAAAGCAGTGTGGAGGTTCCTCAGAAAACTAAACATAGACCTTCCATACAACCCAGACATACCACTCCTAGGCATCTTCCCTGAGCAACAGGAACCAGGATGCAAGGATACATACACCCCTATGTTCATTGCTGCACTGTTCAAATAGCCAAGATATGGAAACAACCCAGATGCCCTACCACAGATGAATGGATCCATAAAATGTGGTACTTCTATACAATGGAGTATTAAACAGCCATTAGAAAAAAATAATGGCATTCACAGGAAAATAGATGAATCTAGAACAAATCATGTTGAGCGAAATAAGCCAAGATCAGAGAGACAAACAGCACATGGTCTCCCTGATATGCAGTTGTTAAATTCAGAATGTAGTAAGATATAACAAATAGGATTCATGAAACAAAGGATAGGCTGGGATTGTGGCTTAGTGGTAGAGTGCTTGCCTAGCATGCATGAAGCCTCTGTTTCATTCCTCAGTACCACATAAACACAAAAAACTAGAAGCAGCACTGCAGCTCAAGTGGTAGAGTGCTAGCTTTGAGCAAAGGAAGTTCAGGGACAGTGCTGAGGCCCTAAATTCAAGCCCCAGGACTGGCAAAGAAGAAAGAAACAAAACAGAGGACCTCTTCTTGTTGTATTCTTTTTAGATGACTCCATGTTCTTGACCAACATATGGTATATACATGTGCACATATGAGGGAAACTAGAAGGGCACAGATTCGGAGGGAAACAGGTGAAAAGTACAGTAGAGGGTCCACATCAGCTGCACCGGATATTGATGAAAGTGAACTAAGCAACTCCAGAGCAGCGATAGGAATGGGAGAGAAAGAGGGAACAGGTTGCACTAAGAAAGGAAAGAAATGTATGTATCACCCTATTTGGAAGAAATAGTTGCATTGTCAAGATCTGTAGACTTCACAAGCCTTTTTTTTTTTTCTTGTGAAAATACAGTACAGAGGGGTTGCAATTACACGGGCAAGGTAATGAGTACATTTTTTATGAAGCATTGTTGCCTCCTCCTTTGTTTCCCCTTCCCATCCCTTCCCATCTCCCAACCACGCCCCCCACTCACCCACCACTCCCACCCCCCCCACGCACCTCCCCCCCCCCCCCACCGCCAAAGTTGTAAAGTTCGTTTTTAGACATAATGACTTGTACATCTATTTGTTGCAATGGGTCCACCTGTATCCCAATTTAAAGGATATGTTTTTTCCCTTCTCCTCCACAAATTATATACTGAAAGCAGGGGTTATACCATGGGGGAGGGACAGACAAAGCAACAAAGAAATCATCTTATAAATATGTCATGAGCTTTTTTTGTCGGTCACGGGGCCTGAACTCAGGGCCTAGGCACTGTCCCTCAGCTCTTCACGTCAAGGCCAGAGCTCTACGACTTGAACCACAGCACAACTTCCAGCTTATGTGGTGCTGAAGAATTGAACCCAGGGCCTCATGCATGCAAGGCAAGCACTCTACCACTGAGCCACCTCCCAGCCCACCCCAAGGCTTTCATACTTTGGTTATTTTTGAGATAAGGGTTCTTGTTTTTACCCAAGTCAGTCTAGATCACAGTTCACCTATTTACACTTCCCACATAGCTGGGATGACACACAGCCACTACCATGCCCAGCATTTTTTTGCTGAGATGGGTCCTCAAAAACTTTTTGTGCAGACTGGCCTCAAATCACAATCATGCTGATGATCTCCACCTCCCAAGTACCTGGGATTACAGACATGGGCCACCACACTCACTTCCTTGTGGCTTTCACTTCTATGCTCAAACCTCACATCTGTCTGTGCCCAGGATGAGGAAAACATTTCTACTTGAAGCTGGAAGTGTGTCCAGAGGGGAATGCATGGGGGAGACATAGAGGAAGTGGGTATCATCCCGACTTCACAAACAGGAAAGAAGTGCGGGTCTGGGAAGGAAGCAAAGGGAGGACAGAACTGAGCAAGACAAGTACACAGGGATGCTGCTGCTTTGACTGACACGGGGCGAGAAAGGACACACCAAGAGGAGAGGCAGCGACAAGAGCTTTGTGCACAGATGCCAGCGGGGAGAGGGAGACAAAGGTAGGTACAGCCTTAGGACTGGAGGAAGCCCAGCTCCCAGGATCTCCCCAGCATTCAAGGCTCACACATGAGAGAGCACCAGTGGGCCTATCTCCACCCACGATCCTGGGCCTCCAGCGTACATGTGGCACAGGCACTCTGGGGACACAAACAGGCTGACCAACACACTTCTCTAGACACCAGCAACTCCAGTCATGGCCGAGAGGAGAGAGGAGAGAAGAGAGAGCAGCTCAGCCCAGAAGCCATGTGCGTGTGGAGCACTGTGGCAGGAGGAGGTAGAAACAGACAGTAAGTGAACACAATAAGTTTGTGGACAAAAGAGCCGTGGCCTGAGAGAAGGGCTGCCACTTTCTCGATAGATTGTAGGACACCTCTCCACTCCCAGAAGCACCTGCCCACTGAATCCCACACCTGAAGCCTGCCTCGATTCTAGCCAAGAAGCTCCAGACCAGTTGTGAGTGTGCTGAAGGTTCTTAAAACATGGGAAGGAAACAACAGCTGGCCATGAGTGCCTTGCTCCCAGTGGACCACCCTGGGGGCCTCTTCCCTGGTTCCCTACAGAGGGGACTCAGGATCCCCATTGCTCCAACTATTTGCCACCAAAGCTTGTAGTTTAGCATGTGAGACTATCAATACAAAAGGAGCCAGAGGCTCGAGCATACCTGTAATACCAGCTGAGGCTGAGGCAGGAACATCACAAGTTCCAGGCCAGCTGGCTACACAGGGAGGCTCTATCTCAACAGTAACAAACAAAAATTCTATGAGTTTCCCTACAACCAAGATCAGGGAAGAATACCCTGGAAGCAGTATTTCCCTAGACAATATCTTTCAAAATAGAACTCATGAAATAGCACAGAAGCACCAGATTGAGAAGAGCCTGGAACTACATCTTCCACTGCTGGGGGCCTGGGCCAGAGGCCTGGGCCTTTCTTTCCTGGTACTTGGTTCTGGGTGGGAGCACAGCATCCACTCAGCTGGGAAAGGGCCTCATGACCTTCTGCTCCTGGCCTTTCATCCCAGGCTCTGCAGACACCACCTACTGAGTGTGGCCAGAGTAGGCCCCTTCTGTGCTGTCTGGTCTGATGGACAGCTGAGAAGGAGGGTGCATCAGGTTATTAGAAGATGGCTGTTTAACAATCCAGGATATAATTGGTGGGGCAACCCTGGCAAGGAGACCCAAAGCACTAGAGCCTTGGGCTGGGAATGTAGCTTAGTGGTAGAGTGCTTGCCCAGGTTGTAGGAAGCCCTGGGTTTGATTCCTCAGCACCACATAAGCAGACAAAGCCAGCAGTGATGTTGTGGCTCTCAAGTGGTAGAGTGCTAGCCTTGAGCAAAAGAAGCCCAAGGTCAGTGCCCAGGCCTTGAATTCAGCCCCAGGACTGGCAAAAATAAAGAAGAAGGAGGAGTTGGACGAGGACAGTTGTCTTACTGAGGTAGATCCAAGAAAAATAAGAAAAGGAGGAAATTCTATGTAGCTAGCAGAATAGGGCCAAACTTGAAAGGCAGGATCTTCCTGTAGAGAAAAACTCCAGGACAGTTATTAAAAGGTGAAAGTCCAGAGATAAAGGCCTGGGTAAATTAGGGGGTTAAATATTCGGTTGCTGCAATTTGGTAAATAACAGTGAAACACAGAAAGAGCCAAAAAACCTGGAAGGTAGTTTGATTTGGGGTAGGATAAGTAAGAAGTTTGGAATGTGTTCGGTCAATATCAGTTAAACCCAAATGCAGGAGCAAAGGGAAGATCTGGGATAAGCACTCTGCCTGCAAGACTTATTGCCTTGAGTACTGGAATTGTAGTCACCATCTGCAATCACTAACTGCCTGTTTCTGTACCTTGCTTTTTCAAAACTACCAATGATCACTTGTGAGTGGCTTCTTGCAGGTTCCTCCTATATAAGGCTACCCTATGTTGAACTGGGGCGGCTAATAAATATTCCTAGCCAGACTGACTTGAGTGTTGGTGACACCTTTAACCAATCGTTGTTCGAGTCCCACCAGCCCTGGGAAATTGGGATACTTCACTGCTGCTAACCAGAACTCGCCAAGCACTGTTAGCAGCACCCACTGTGAAACTCATCTGATAGGAAATCCCATAGTGCCCGGAGAGGCTGCGGGAACCTGCAATGGTGGAAGAAAAGCAAGGGCAGTGGAGTGACACAGACCAACAAAGTGAAGACTTGCCCGCAAACCGCCACGCCTGACTCATTTGGATCACTGCCATCTTTCAATGCCCTGAGGTTTAGCCACACGGTCCTGTTAGTCCTTGGAAAATTCCACGATGCAACCTTTAGGACAATCGTACTCGACTTGCAATGTCCTCCCGCCGGCCTCTCTCCCTGCGGCCTGCTCCTCAGGGGTTGCTTTCAGCCACCACGCCCAGGTGACCCGCAGGACGAAGACCCGGAACCCATCCCTGGGTTTCCTGTCGGGAACGCCTCCGTTCACGATGAACTCATTGGCGGTCCCACACTCCCGCCTCTTCCTACGCCAGCAGAACCTCTATAAAAGCCGGGGAACCCCGCTTACCTGGCCATTGCCTTGTCCGGGAGCCCGCCCGCGCTGCCGGGAGCCCAAGACTCACTTCCGGCCGCGTCCCGGAAGCCGCGCGCAGGTACCGGGACGGGAAGAGGCGGGAAGAGGCCGAGCGCCCGGGACGCGGGGAGACACCGGGGAGTGCTGCGGTGAGGCAGAGCCAGGGAGGCGGGCACGCGGGCGGCAGGCGCTGGCCTCCGCGTGCGCGGACGCCGACCCAGGCCGGGCCCCGGCGGGAGCCGGCACCAGCGTCTGCGCGCCCGCTGCCCGCGCCCCAAGCCCCGCGCCCACGGCCGCGGTAAGGGCGGAGTCGGTGCGGTACGAACGCCTCTCGCCGGGCGAGCCCCGCCCAGAGCCCCGCACCTCCTGGCACGCAGGTCGGCCACCGCACAGGTGGAGGCCAGGAAAACCCTGCTAAAGACAGACAGGTCAAGGCCAAAGCCTGAACCGGGACCATTGCTCAGGCCACACGGTCGTCCAGGGAGCTGAGAGCGGAGGAGCCCGCCTGCCCTTGACGCACAGGCCCGGGACCCACGCAGGAGCAAGAACAGCCCCTCCGTGGCAAGGCTGTAGACAGCAGGGAGACTGGCCGCGGAGGGCGCGGCCTGTTCTCCCCTCACATCATTTACTCAGCTCCGTGTGGATGTAGCTGATTGCTTGCCTAGCATATGCAAGGCCCCAGGTTCAGTCCGCAGCACTCATCCAGACATACTGTGCATGCCTGTAACCCCGGCAGTCATGAGTCTCAAGCAGGATTACAAATTTGAATCAGGTTGGACTACATGGCAAGGCTCTAAATATAAAGATTCATTTACTCGGGGTGAAGTTTGTACCTGCCTAGAGCAGCAGAATCTCAGGTGACCCCCCGGGACTCACCACCCACTTCCCCTCTCTGCCTTCCAGAGCCAGCGTGTTTCCCCTCCACCTGACCCCTGCTCACCAGGGCAGTCGTGTTTCACTCACCTTACACCTGCCAGCCTACGACTGAGCTGCCCAGGAGGCATGAGCACTTCCAAGCTCTATACCTTAGTGCTGGTGCTGCAGCCCCAGCGGGTCCTCCTGGGCATGAAGAAGCGGGGCTTCGGCATGGGCCGCTGGAATGGCTTTGGGGGGGAAGTGAAAGAAGGAGAGACCATCGAGGATGGGGCCAGAAGGTGAGGAAAGGGGGCTCTGCACACACAGCCTGCCGGGGGTGAGGGGATGAGGGTTCCATCTAGATTCAGAGCCATACGCCCTGGGAACTGTGTGGCCCAGAGCAGGGATCTATCCCTTGAGCTCTGCGTTTTCACCTGAGTGGGACAGTGCCGGAACCTGCCGGCAACGAAAGGGAATCCTGAATTAGGGGGCGAGGACGGAAAAATAAAGACATAAGACAAAGGATGGGGTTGGGAGGTCTGCAGCTCAAGACTGCAGCCCGTTATTTTTAACTTTTCCTAATATATACTATTAGAAGTCAAGAGGTAACATAAGGTAACAATAGTCCAGAAAAACAAGGAAAATTTCAGTAAAAACAGTGCAGTAAAACAGGACAAGGTCAACTGGTAGAAAGTACAACAAACTCTGCAGACATAGCAAAGCAATCCCGGGCACCTGGTGTTTTTCAAGAAAGCCAGTTCCTTGTACATGCCTTCAAGTGAGTAGCAGGGTCAAGATGACCTTTAAACTTTACTGTCGGCTCCCAACAGGACAGTGGTAATGAGACTACAGGTCTTAGTGTGGCAAAGACTAAATGAGAAAGTGCTGGCCAAGGACTGTGTTCTGCCTGACTCTGTCGGTGGGAAACCTTTGGGACACCATTGGAGTCATCGTGGCATCTTCATGTCTAACTACAGGGCTTACCAGTCACTAGTCTTTTTAATTTTCAGGGTAGCTGATGGCTCCACACATACATACCCCTTTATCTTAAACCTTTTGGCCACACAGCTCTACTTGGTCCAACTACAGCTTCTCTTGGGAAGGAATGAAGGCCCAGAGAGGTTGAGTTGATTTTCCACCTCACACAGTCCTCCAGGTGGCCTCTGCCCTCACTTCACACAGTCCTCTGAGAATAAATGAGGTCATTAATGCAAGTGGTGCTCAACCCTGCACAGACAACCAGGGAGTTGTGGTGGTAGTAGTTGTGGTAGTTGTTTTGAGACAGGATCTCAAATTCACAATCCCCTTACCTCAGCTTTTCCACTGGCATGCACTAACATGCATGCCGGTTCTGATTCTGATGAAAGCTGGTGGCACCCATAGGTTGCCTTCTTCCCTGGAGAGAATGAAAACTCGTCCATGGTTGAGAGAGACTGACCGGGAGAGAAGCTGCGATGCTGTAGCCCAGTGGCTCTTTTTTGGTGGTGTTCTTGGGTTTTGACATCACAGCAGATACTGCATCAGCAGAGCCACATCCCCACTTCAATATTTTAGCCCTCAATTTAAAAAAAATTTACTTATTTTGGGCTGGGAAGGTGGCTCAGTGTTAGTGCTTGCCTTGCATGTATGAGGCCCTGGGTTCAATTCCTCAGCACCACGTAAGCAGAAAAAGCTGCAAGTGGTGCTGTGGCTCAAGTGATAGAGTGCTAGCCTTGAGCTGAAGTGCTCAGGGACAGTGCCCAGGCCCAGAGTTCAAGCCCCACAACCGACAAAAAAAAGAAAAAAAAAAAAAACTATTGTGCAATAGAGCATAAACACCCAGCTAAAATCCTGATACCCTTACTTGTGGAGGTTTGAATTCAAGGTTCAGCACAACTAGGCAAGCACTATAGTACCTGATCCACATCTCCAGCCCTTTTTTGCTTTATTTTTCTGATGGGGTGCCTCAGGCTGGCATTAGACTGGGATCCTGCTTCTATGCCTCCCATGTTGCTGTGATCACAGGCATGAACCAACACAGAGGTCTCAGTACCTATTTGTCCTTGCTGGCTGGGCTCCTTGAACCACAATTGCCGCATTTCTACCTCCCAAGTACCTAGGATTATATGTAGGAGCCATTCCTAGGCCTGGGATCCCAGCATGCAAGCTGAACAGGTTTCTAAGTCACTATACCAAAGTCCCACAAGGGGGAGCTGAGCAACACATCCTTTTCCCAGGTAGGAGTGGCTATCCCATGTCTCTGGGTTTAGCACTGCCCTAAGGGAGGGCCAAGTTGAGTGTCTTCTCTCTGATTGTGGGCACTTGGATACTGGCTGGGTTGCAGGGGGGGGGAGGGGGTGGGGGCGTGCCATTATTGGGTTTTGAACTCAGGCCACTGTCCATGAGTTTTTTAGTCAAGTCTGATGCTCTACCACTTAAGCCACAACTCCACTTCCTGCTTTTCAGTGGACGTAAGAGTCTCATTGATTTTCTCCAAGGCTGGCTTCCAACATCTGTCCTCAGATCTCAGCCCCCTCAGTAGCTAGGATTTGGAGTATGAGCCTAATGTACATAGCAAAGGATGAGTGTGTGTGTATATGTGTGTGTGTGTATATGTGTGTGTGTGTATATGTGTGTGTATATGTGTGTGTGTGTATATGTGTGTGTGTGTATATGTGTGTGTGTGTATATGTGTGTGTGTGTATATGTGTGTGTGTGTGAGTGTGTGTTACTAACAGTTGGGAACTTGGAACTTTCTATTCCCAGCCCTTTAAAGTGTAGGGTGTGCCCCTTTAGGGTGATATAGGGTGTAGTGTTTTTGTTTTATTATTATAAAAGTGATGTACAGAGGGGTTCCATTTATGTAAGTCATATATCAAGTACATTTCTTTTTAGACAGTTTCACCCCTTTTGTTCTCTCCCAGGTTTTCCCTCCCATCCCCACTCACAAGTTGTACAGTTCATTTTCTACATAGTTAAGGTATAGTTTTTGTCCAGGCTAACCTCAAACTATGATCCTCCAGCTTCTCCCCGCTGAGTAGCTAGGAGTGTGGGTCACCAGCTTCTGAATTCTTTAAAGTTCAACCTCATTCCCAAGATGAGCCTGGTCAGGACCTACCAAAACCTTACACGATGCCCTCCTGGGGTGAACAGCCATGTCCTGCCACCAGGTTCCCATGGGTGGGTACATGCATCCCGTGCCGCTTCCAATATCTATCTCCCCACAGGGGGCTGCAGGAAGAGAGTGGTCTGACAGCAGAGATTCTGCACAAAGTGGGGAAAATTGTGTTTGAGTTCGTGGGGGCCCCCGGGCAAATGGAAGTGCATATCTTCTATACAGACAGCGTACAGGGGACACCTGTGGAGAGTGATGGTGAGTCTTCAGGGTCCCTACCACCCATTCTTGCTTCCCTGGGGAGGACACAGGTGTAGGCCTTGGGCCCTCTTCCTCCTCCAGTGAGCTCAGAGGCTCTGTGGGCCATCTACAGCAGGCGCAGCAGCATAGCCCACAGCCCCAGCGCATTTCCTGCTCTACAGAGTGAGGGTCACTAACATGGTTAGATGGAGCCCCTACCACAGAACTCCCTGTAATTCCTGTCAGCCTGGGTCGGGGGGTGACCACCACAGCTCTTCCCTGTCACCCTTTGGTTCAGAAATGCGACCTCAGTGGTTCGCCCAGGACCAAATCCCCTTCCGTGACATGTGGCCCGATGACAGCTACTGGTTCCCGCTCCTGTTCCAGAGGAAGAAGTTCTGCGGCTACTTCAAGTTCCAGGACCAGGACACTATCCTGGACTATTCGCTACGTGAGGTGGACCACGTTTAGCGCTGAGCCTACTGGTGGCCAGGAGAGGGCGCCTTGGCAGCAGCTCTCCTGTCCACATGCTCACAAGGCCAGCCTCATGAGGTGTCAGAGGTGATGGATGCAAGGGAGGGCCTTCAGCAGTGTGGCTTGTCCTGTCCCCAGGGAGCTGCCTGTCGTGCCGCTGTCACACAGACACTGGACAGAGGTGGGAGGGACTGGGTAAAGGAGGGCCTGCCATATGATCTAGTGTCCTTTTATTGCCACCCCACACTTTGTGATTCCTACCCTTTCCCAGTGGGGAAACAGAGACAAACAAGAGTCAAAAGCCATGGGGCTGGGAAGGTGGCTCAGTGGTAGAGCGCTTGTCTAGCTTGCATGAGACCCTGGGTTCGATTCCTCAGCACCACATAAGAAGAAAAAGCCAGAAGTGGTGCTGTGGCTCCAGTGGTAGAGCACTAGCCTTGAGCAGAAGAGCTGAGGGACAGTGCCCAGGCCCAGAGTTCAGTCCCATGATGGACCAAAAACAAACAAACAAACAAAAACCAGTCAAAGGCCAATCCTGGCATGTAGCAGGCTTCTCCTCAGAATACAAGGGCCATTCTCTTCCAATTGGGAACCACCAAGAAGCAGAGAAAGAACTGAGAGCTGTGTCCACTATTAACTTCACCAAGGATTTTTGGGTAAACAGCAGAGTAAAAACGGTTTGTAAACACTTCCAGTTTATTGGGTATAGTAGTAACTGATTTCTGCAGCCCATAAAGTGCTTCATACATAGAGCTGGCTTCCACAAAGGCCTGGGAAAGGCCTCCAACAGCACAGGGTCCCTGTTTTTCCCACAGCGGTTTCCTGGGGCTGCCTTCTCCCCAGGGCTGGAGGGAGCCAGCCAGCCCGGCACTCCCCCGGCTCTCAGGACCAGCCAGGGCTTCAGCTGAACCCTCACTCACTCAGACACCTTGCCCTGGACAGGATTCTTATGAAGTTCCCACTGTAGTGTCCGGCCAGAGCATGGCAGCAGGAGAGCCAAGAAGGGTGAAGGGACTTCAGTCACTCCACCTGGAGCAAGCCTGGGCCAGGAGTGACTGGGCTCTGCTGCCCTAAATTCCTTAGGCCTTCCTCTAGAGTGCCTGGGGATGGCAGGGTGGCCTGAGGCAGCCTTCCTGCCTCCTCTTCCCCCACCCTCAGCCTCTAGATCACAGAACCTGGAGGACATTAGGAGTGTGACCTAGCTACTCACCCTGGGTCCTGCCCACAGTTCCCCTACCTCTGGTCCCAGGGACAGGCTGGCAGACAAGTGGCCTTGACTGGGCCCCAGGCCCTCAGAGGCCTCAACACTGCTGCAACCTTTGGCACAGGTAGGCTCAGGCCCTGCAGCTCTACTGTCACCATGTAGAAGGACAGCCCTGGGAATGGTACAGTTCCACATAGTGATCAGGAACTGTCTTCCATGAGGGAAGGTTGTCTTCAGAGAGCCAAGGAGGCCCTCTGCCATTCAGGGAGAAGATGGAGACCCATGTCCTCAGAGAGCTTTCTGCTGTCCCTGCCCAGCAGGGCCTCCAGCACTCTCCTGGGCCAAGGAAGCTGCGTGGTACCCACAAAGAGACCCTGGTGGCAATGCCTGCAGCCCTCCCTCCCCTGGCCCCTAGGGCTGAGGGCAGGTGGGAGGGAGCCCAGGAGGAGTGCAGCTGCCCAAAAGGAAGAAATGGTCTAAAGATCAGTTGAGCACAGTGGTGCTCACGGCAGTGTAACCCATTCACCACTGTGACCGTGGCCTTCAGCCCTATAGTAGCAACGCTACACCCAGAGTGTCTGCAGGTCCCGACCCACAGCCAGACCTCTCACCCTGAGACTGCCATCTCCCCACCAGATGGCACTGTCCCCTCTCTCTCCCACTGCTGACTGACCCTCCAGTCCAGCCCTCTGTACTAGTCCGGGACCCAGGGACCCTTCTATGCTGCCCTAGGCTGTATGGCAATGACCCAAGTGCATCCCAGAGTGTCCTACTTCTCACAACGGGGCCAGCAGGCCTCCTGCCAGGTAGAAGGAATAAAGACCACCAAGAGGCCCAGGGAACACAGTGGGAGGGTGGAAAAGGAGAGCCTCTGCTTTGGTCCCATCAGAGGCCCAGCTGCTATCGGAAGTGACTCAGCCATCCCACAGCATTGGCAAAGAGGGTTTAGTGAGGCCACAGGGAGCTCTGAGGCCTCAGGCACTAGTGGGGACACACTCCATCCTCCTGTGGGGAGCCTGGCGGTGTCAGGGTGCCATGAGGTCCAGCAAAGAGGCAGCTGAGCTTGGGCTTCAGGTCGTTCCACACTTTGCTCATCTGCAGAGGGAAGAAGGTGAGCAGGCATCCTCACTCTCTGGAAGGTACTCAGACCCATCCCATCCCACCTCCACAACAGAATTTCTTGAAGTGAGGACCGAGCTGCCGGTTCTACTCCCTTAGAGTGGACAACCTCCAGAGGCCACCTCGGTTCTTCCTCTGTCCCCTGCATGCAGGAGCGGAGCCACAAGTCTGCCTGACCTGGTACTTTCACATTACTGTTAAGAGGCTGAGTGTGGTGGCTCGTGCCTACAATCTCAGCTTTGTGGGAGATAGAGGTGGGAGAATGGCAGGCCAAAAAAGAAATCCTATCTGAAAAGTAACTGAAGTGAAAAGTGACAGGGGTGTGGCTCAGGCTACAAAAACCTAGGTTCAAACCCCCATATTGAAAGAAAACAGTTACTTTCAATTCCCTCCCAATACCCTGTCACAGCTGTGCCAGCACTGGCCAATGTGGTCCAGCAAGCCAACAGCCTGCAACCTCCACTAAGTGGAGAAGCCAGGGACAGGAATGCCACACGACCACAAAGCTGCCTATCAGGCAGTCTTGTCAACTTGATGGACTTCACAGCCACTCAAACCTGACACTCCACCCCTCATCTCAAGCACAGGGTTCAGAGATTCCATATTTTTCCTTTGGACTTGTCTGGATTCTTCTGGAAGGTAGACTGTTCCTGTTTGGTCTGGCCTGTACAACTTCAGAGTTACTACTATGGTCACTTAAAGCTGGGCACTATCCCTTAGTTTTACTGCCCGGTACTGGTACTCTACCACTTGAGCCACAGCTTCACTTCTGGTTATTTTTGCTTGTAGGTTGGAGATACAACTCTCATGGACTTTCTGCCTAGGTTGGCTTCCAACCATGATCCTAGTTAGGATTATAGGAATGAGCCACAAGCACCTGGCACAAACTGTGCTTTAGGATCCATATTAACCCCAACTTAACCAATTGTCCTAGTAACTCCTGGCGGGGACTAACAGTACCCACCTCCTTATGGCCCTGGATCTGTGAGTTCACGAAGGCCCCAAGGATGTGGGAGGTGAGGGGCAGGTAGACGTGGACCAGCTGCGTCTCCTGGTGCAGGCAGTACAGGGAGAAGTAGTTCCGCAGCTCCATGGTCTGGATCACGTTCTCTTGCTACAAGGTCAGGGCTTGGTGAGCAGGTACAGCCCACCCATACCAGATGGGGATGGAAAGGTAGGGCAAGGTAGAAGAGGGGCAGGGGGGAGCACAGAAGCCAAGCACTGTCTAGCGTGGGCCCATTGTAGAAAGGATTATATGGAAATGCCAGAGCTTCAGCCCACCTAGTTCACCAATGTGGAGGGGGCACTAGAGGGCTCTAATGCTTGTCACTCCTCCCCCACAAGCCACTGCCATGCCCACCTACCTCCACAATGCGGGACTCCAGCTGCTCCACGGTCTCAGGCTCACGGCCATGTGCTGCACTCATCATCTGCCTCTTCATCAGGCCATACTTGTGCAGGGCACGCTGATGTTTGTGCAGTACGCCCTTCTCGTGACGCTCGCACAGGTCCTACAGGCAGGCAGGCCCTCAGCCTCGGGGTATACTGTGGACCTCTCACACCCCCCCCCCCCCCAGCTGACAGCCTTTCCAGGGAAGCGGGCTTTTCTTCCACACCCTCTTGTCCTCACTGAGGAAAAGTTCACGTAGCTGAGGAAGTCAAAGCCAGGCCCTCTCCGTCCTGCAGGGACACCCACTAGACCCAAACCCTACATGCTGTCACTCAGATTAGCAGAGGGGATGTAGAGTCCAGAGCCCAGGGCACCTTAGCCTGCTAATGCCACCTACTTCCACACATGCAGGGAACAGGTGGCCCAAAAGGAAGACGCAACCTTGAAGACATGCTGTGGGCTGGGCTGGGGCTAGAAGTATGACTCAAGTAGAAGAGTGCCCATTAAGCAAGAGCAGACCCTGCATGCAAACCATCAGTGTAACTAACACATACTAACAAAAAGAAAATGACAGAAAACCAAAGCAAGCTCCCCTCCCCCATACCACACACAGGAGCAGGAGGGTTAAGGAAGGTGAATGAGGATAAATATAGTTGAAGTAGTTTATTCACATGGATAAAATAGAGCAATGAAACCTGTTGGAGTTGTTTTAAGAAGTGGTGAGGAGAAGCCAGGCACCACTGGCTCACCCTTTAATCCTGGCTACTCAGGGGCTGAGATCTAAGGGTCACAGTTCAGCCAGTCTGGGCAGAAAAGTCAGTGAGACTCATATGTCCAATTAACTTTCGGAAAACCCAGAAGTGACACTGTGGCTCAAAGTGGTAGAGTGCTAGCTTGAGCAAAGGAGCTCAGGGACAGCACCCAGGCCCTGAGTTCAAGCCCCACAGCAGACAAAAAACACAAGAACATTGAAACCTGATGGAAATGTTTTAAGAAAGGGAGATGGAGGGCAAGAGGCTAATCAGGATACATTATACACGTCTGGAAAAGTCACAATGACACCCCCCCCCCCCCCGCCTTGTACAACTAATTTAAGATAAAAAGTTAATAATGTTTGAAAAAGAAAAGACATGGGGCTGGAAATGTGCCTTAGTGGTAGAGTGCTTGCCTAGAATACATGAAGCCCTGGGTTCAATTCCTCACTACCATATACACAGAAAAAGCCAGAAGTGGCACTGTGGCTCAAGTGGTAAAGTGCTAGCCTTGAGCAAAAGAAGTTTAGCCCTGAGTTCAAGCTCCAGGCCTGGCCAAAAAGAAAAAAAAAAAAAAAAAAAAGACCTGGTAGGACACACAAGCCACAGGCTCAGCATGGAGATTCTAGAGGCCACCTGCTGCCACCCTACTCAAGTCCTTTCCCTCTAGTCCTTTCCCCACAAGCTCTGGCCTGGGTTACCTGGGCTGCATGGTAGGAAGGATTTACAGAGCTTCTCCCTGGCTCTAGCTGCAGCCAATTTCCCAGAAATTCCATGAGCTACAAAAGGTGAAGCCCCTTTCCTGAGCCATGTTTCCAGATCCTTAAAGATAGCTGCAACATGCTCTCTTTGTGTCTGTCTCTCTGCTAGGGCAATCCTCCCTGCTCTCAGCTCAGTGAAGGCCTGAGGGAAGAGGCAGCCCAGAGAAAATGTCAGCAACACCCAGGAACCCCTTTCCTTGCATCCTGCCAGGGCCACAGTGCCCTTGGAGTCACACCCTTGAGGGATCACAGGCTCGTCCCCCAAAGCTCTGCCCCTAACAGGAGCAGACACTCACTTTGTAGGACTGAAGTAGGTCCAGGAAAAGGTTCAGCTTCTCCACCACATCATTCTCTTCCTGTTTGCCCTGAAAACAAGGGTGAGTTAACCAGTGAGGAATGGACAGTGGAGCCCACACAAGACCCTTGATATTTCTGGAAGACACCCCCAACCATGGCCGCCAGCCCTTCTCTCCATACAGCAGCCACCCAAGGCCAGGAACACCTTCACACCAAGCAGTTAGGAGGGCACAGGGGAGCCTCTGCCCCAGTTATTCCACTCTTACCTGAGTCTTTGCTGGGTGTTCTATAATACCCCCAGGCTTTTATGCTTGGGTTATTTTTGAAATAAGAGTTCTTGTTTTTACCCAAGTCAGCCTAGATCACAAATCAACTATTTACACTTCCCACATAGCTGGGATGACACACAGACACTAACTACCGTGCCCAGCTTTTTTTGTTGAGATGGGTCCTCAAAAACTTGTCCAGGGCTGGGAAGGTGGCTCAGTGGTAGAGCACTTGCCTTGCATGCATGAGGCTCTGGGTTTGATTCCTCAGCACCACATAAGCAAAAATAAAAAGCCGGAAGTGGCGCTGTGGCTCAAGTGGTAGAGCGCTAGCCTTGAGCTGAAGAGCTGAGGGACAGCGCCCAGGCCCAGAGTTCAGGCCCCACGACCGGACCCAAAAAAAAAAAACTTGTCCAGACTGGCTTCAAATCACAATCATGCTGATGATCTCCACCTCCCAAGTACCTGGGATTACAGACATGGGCCACCACACTCACTTCCTTGTGGCTTTCACTTCTATGCTCAAACCTCACATCTGTCTGTGCCCAGGATGAGGAAAACATTTCTACTTGAAGCTGGAAGTGTGTCCAGAGGGGAATGCATGGGGGAGACATAGAGGAAGTGGGTATCATCCCGACTTCACAAACAGGAAAGAAGTGCGGGTCTGGGAAGGAAGCAAAGGGAGGACAGAACTGAGCAAGACAAGTACACAGGGATGCTGCTGCTTTGACTGACACGGGGCGAGAAAGGACACACCAAGAGGAGAGGCAGCGACAAGAGCTTTGTGCACAGATGCCAGCGGGGAGAGGGAGACAAGGGTAGGTACAGCCTTAGGACTGGAGGAAGCCCAGCTCCCAGGATCTCCCCAGCATTCAAGGCTCACACATGAGAGAGCACCAGTGGGCCTATCTCCACCCACGATCCTGGGCCTCCAGCGTACATGTGGCACAGGCACTCTGGGGACACAAACAGGCTGACCAACACACTTCTCTAGACACCAGCAACTCCAGTCATGGCCAAGAGGAGAGAGGAGAGAAGAGAGAGCAGCTCAGCCCAGAAGCCATGTGCGTGTGGAGCACTGTGGCAGGAGGAGGTAGAAACAGACAGTAAGTGAACACAGTAAGTTTGTGGACAAAAGAGCCGTGGCCTGAGAGAAGGGCTGCCACTTTCTCGATAGATTGTAGGACACCTCTCCACTCCCAGAAGCACCTGCCCACTGAATCCCACACCTGAAGCCTGCCTCGATTCTAGCCAAGAAGCTCCAGACCAGTTGTGAGTGTGCTGAGGGTTCTTAAAACATGGGAAGGAAACAACAGCTGGCCATGAGTGCCTTGCTCCCAGTGGACCACCCTGGGGGCCTCTTCCCTGGTTCCCTACAGAGGGGACTCAGGATCCCCATTGCTCCAACTATTTGCCACCAAAGCTTGTGGTTTAGCATGTGAGACTATCAATACAAAAGGAGCCAGAGGGCTCGAGCATACCTGTAATACCAGCTGAGGCTGAGGCAGGAACATCACAAGTTCCAGGCCAGCTGGCTACACAGGGAGGCTCTATCTCAATAGTAACAAACAAAAATTCTGAGTTTCCCTACAACCAAGATCAGGGAAGCAGTATTTCCCTAGACAGTATCTTTCAAAATACAACTCATGAAATAGCACAGAAGCATCAGATTGAGAAGAGCCTGGAACTACATCTTCTACTGCTGGGGGCCTGGGCCAGAGGCCTGGGCCTTTCTTTCCTGGTACTTGGTTCTGGGTGGGAGCACAGCATCCACTCAGCTGGGAAAGGGCCTCATGACCTTCTGCTCCTGGCCTTTCATCCCAGGCTCTGCAGACACCACCTACTGAGTGTGGCCAGGGTGGGCCCCTTCTGTGCTGTCTGGTCTGATGGACAGCTGAGAAGGAGGGTGCATCAGGTTATTAGAAGATGGCTGTTTAACAATCCAGGGTATAATCAGTGGTGAAACCAAGGCAAGGAGATCCAAAGAACTGGAGTCATGGGCTGGGAATGTGGCTTAGTGGTAGGGTGCTTGCCCAGCTTGCAGGAAGCCCTGATTCGATTCCTCATTACCATATAAAGAGAAAGAGCCGGAAGTGGTGTTGTGACTCTCGAGTGGTAAATTGTTAGCCTTGAGCAAAAGAAGCCTAGGGATAGTGCCCAGGCCCTGAGTTCAAGCCCCAGGACTGGCCAAAACAAAAAACAAAAAAAAAAAACATACTTTCCTGGGACTTGAGAGGCCAGAGGACTGAGAGGCAAAAACAAAACAAATGAACAAACAAAAAGAACTGGAACAATGTCAGGGCAACACAATGCTAAGTGCAGGCCATACTCTGAGCCCCTGACTCTCTATCCTGCCAAACACCTGCTTCTCTGTCCTTCTTACCTTGGAAGAATGGCATGCATCAGCCTGGGGAAGGACAGACCCAGCACCAATTAGGAAATAGTGGCAAGGCCCTGAAGACACTTTCAACTGGGAGCTCGTGGACATCAGGAGCAGAACTGAAAGCCCAGCACTTTCCACTCCAACAGAAATCAAATTCCTTCTTGAGCACCAATCCCCAGCAGTGTGGACCCTACATGGAGACACCTAACCAGCTTTAGGTCTATGGGAACAAGTAAGTTCACAAGGACACTCACTCATTTAAAACAGCCTGCTAAACAGGAACTGGTGGCTCCCATCTGTAATCCTAGCTACTCAGGAGGCTGAGACCTGATGATCAGGGTTCAAGGACAGCCCAAGCAGAAAAGTATGTGTGACTCCAGCTCCAATTACCTAGCAAAAAGCTTGGCTGAAGAAAAAGAAGAAAACAAATAAACAACCTTTTAAGGGTTGAGGCATGTCTCAGTTGGAAGAGCACAAGTCAATGCACAAAAGCGGCCACAGGGACCAAGTTCAAGTTCAGATCTCAAACCGGAAAAAAGAGAGGAAAAAGCTGAGCTAGAGCATGGCTCAAGTGGTAGTGTACCAGCTATGAGCACACATGGACATGTGTGTCTGCATGTGTGCACGCACGTATGCACGCACGCGCGCGCACACACACACCACACAAAAGCAAGTTCAAGGCCTTGAGTTCAAACTCAAAGAAGAAAGGAAGAAAATAAGAAAGGGAAGGGAAGGAAGGAAGGGAGGGAGAGAGGGAGAGAGGAAAAGAAAGAGAAAGAGGAAGAGAGAGACAGAGGGAAGGAGGCGGGGATTGAAGGAGGGAAGGGAAGGAAGGATGGAAAAATGAAAGAAGAAAAGCAAAGTAAAAAGAACTACTGTCTGCTAGCAGCTTAAATAGCATGTTCCCAAGAAACAGGCAGCAGGGTCTCCACCCTCCAAATCACCTTACAGTTTGAGAATACGGAAGGCCAGATGAGCCCTTATACATGACTGAACTCTGCCTTCAGCCCACAGCTCTGTTTATACCAGACTCCAAGATTAGCCCCTGCCTGTGCAGCAGCAGCACTTGCTGAGGCTCCTTGGTCTTGAGGAGACAGGAAAGGCGGACAGAATCTGTCTGGGGGGCTGGCAGCTAAGTTATCTTAGAGAAAGATGCTGAGTACTAGTTGGCTCACTTAGCACAATGGGAAACATTTGCTCCAGCTTGCAGAAGCCTCAGCGCTCAAGATTACAGCTCTAAAGACAGATTCCTTCTTGTGTTTCCTTTTGTTTTTTGACACTTAAAAAAAACAAAAACAAAAAAACCACAGGGATGTCACTACAAAGTGCAGGCTAGCTTTTTGTTGTCGGTCGTGGTTGTGGGGCTTGAACTCTGGGCCTGGGCGCTGTCCCTCAGCTCTTCAGCTCAAGGCTTGTGCTCTACCACTTGAGCCACAGTGCCACTTCTAGTTTTCTGGTGGTTAATTGGAGATAAGAGTCTCACGGACTTTCCTGCCCAGGATGGCTTTGAATTGTGATCCTCAGGTCTGAGCCTCCTGAGTAGCTAGGATTACAGGCTTGCGCTATCGGTGCCTGGCTCAGGCTAACTTTAAACTTGAAATCCTCCTGCCTCAGACTCCCGATTGCTGGGATTACAAGTGTATAATACCATATTCGACTCCCAGATTTGTTCCAACTTCAGCAAAGCCTAAGAGCAGAACCCTCTCAAACACCAGAACCTACTTTGTCTCTGTCCTGGAAGCTTAAGTGTAAATGGCCCGAGGGGAGACACTGGGAACACATGGGAACGGGGTATCCTCAGTCTCTTAGCACAGGGGACAGAGCGGGGATGTGAGGGCAGCACAGCCCCCAGAAAATCCTGTACTCACCTGCTGTGCGGCCTTGTCAGCCAGCAGTGCAAACTCCACAGACAGGCCCTTGAGCGCCTGCTTCAGGGAGCCCCATGTGCTGAGGTGCAGGGCGGCCCACGAGGGCAGCGGGGTAGTGTCAGACCCTAAAGCACTGTGGGAAGCGAAACACACATGATGGGAGGCACAGTACTCGCCTGCTGGCCCAACCCCAGAGCCGTGCTCATGGGAGGGGGTTGTGCACATGCCCAATGCCCAAGAGAGGGCACAGTGTTAGATGCTACCCCAGACCCTGTGAATCCCTTCTCTTCCCACACAGGCCCTGCATGGCCTGTGTGCAGGGGACAAAAGGAGGAACAGCCAGCCCCAGGCCACCCTCTCTAGAGGGACAAGGAAAGACCAAAGACCACAGGAGAAACCACTGCACTCAACCCAGCCCTCAGCCTCTTCCTCTGCATTCCAATCCCCCCTGCCCAGCCTACTTTGCTCCTTGCAGGAAACACAGGCAACCTCCCCCCACCCCACCCCACCACACCCCAGTCCCTGCAGGGCCACCTGCCTGAGCTCCTTCCCGAATATGAGAAGATCAGAGGCATTGTCAATGGCCCGGGATGCCATCCGCTCCGCCCTGTCGCGCAGCTTGTAGAAACTGTTGTAGATGTTTCGAATCAGCTCCCGGCTCATGGCAAACTGAGTCTGGATGTCAGCTGGGAGGAAGTCCTGGAGGGCAACAGGGAGGTGGTGACCCTGCTGCTTAGAGGCTCAGGGCATGGACAGCCCTGAACTAGTCCGCTCATTGGTAAGACAGGCAGACTCCAATGCAGAGCAGCCGAAGGGGTCAAGGGAGTAGACATGCAGTGGGCACAGCATGATCCTGCCCACAGCAGAGAGAAACGAGCATCACCAAGTGTTAGCGTGACTGTTTCTCTAGTTAAGAAGAAGAAATAGGCAAAATTAGAAAACTACCTTGGCCCTAGCAGCCAGCTTACAGTTCATGAATTCATCTCCAACGCACTGGGCTGCTTCTTTCAACTTGTTCTGCACATCCTGCAAGAGGAAAGAGACAAGCCAGGTGTGGTAGCACAAGCCTGTAATCCCAGTACTTGGGAATCTGAGTCAGGAAGATCTTGAGTTGGAGGCCAGCCTGGGCTACATATTGAAACCCTGTCTCAAAAGAAAAAATAATAAAAGAGTGAAAAGAGCCAGCTTCACCATCTTCCATTGGCACAAACCCTGAACTGAGAGCAGGCAAGTGTGAGAAGGACGACTCAGTCCTGCCCAAAGAGCCACCATCCATGTGACCACTCCTCCGTCAGCATTCAGAATCACTTTGCTGTCCATCAGGTTCTTTCCTTGAGCCAAAACTGCAGGAAAGCCTGCAGTGACAGCTGCAGAGCCAAATCTCGTTCCATAACCAAAGAACTCCAGCTACAAAGTAGGGACAGACAGCATGGATAGAGACCAACATCAGACTCATCCAGACCCTTTGCATTCTACCTGGAGCAGCAGGAGGAAAGCTGGGGCTGCTTCTCCTGTGGACAGTTTCACAGGTTGAGGGAGCCCCAGGGGTCCAGGAGGGCTGGTAGGCAGAGGAAAGAAGAGCTCTGTTCTAGCCCCAGGCTACAGTGCAGCCCTCTGAACAGACCTTTACTGGAGAATACAAGAGGAATACAGAGAGAAAGCCTGATAGGCATGTACCTTTGTGTCCAGAAAGTTTCAGAAGTCCTGATGGTCACCTGTCTACTTCTGCATTTTGCCAAAAAAAGAAATTGAGGGAATTTATAAGAATATCCTACTGTGCACCCCATCTTCCAGGCCTCTGCCAGGAGTGCAGACAGCTCCCAGGCCCTATCTCATTCCTCCTTTGCTAATCAAAAGCACTGCTCCATCCTAGGACTCAAAGGACCACACTAAGGCTCAGCATGGTGGTGCAGGCCTGTAATTCCAGCTACTCAGGAGGCAGAGGAAGAAGGATCACAGTCCAAGGACAACCCAGACAAAAGTGAGAGACCCAATCTGAAGAACAAACTGGAGGCAAAAGGACAAGTGTGAGACTCAAAGTGGTAGAGTGCTGCCATAGCAAGTGTGAGGCCCTCAATTCAGTTCCCATGGCAGCTCCCCTCCAAAACAGGGGCCATACTTCAACCAGGAGTGGGCTCAGTGGCCCTGTCTGCCCAGCATACTTGAGGCTCTGGGTTCCATCCCCACCACCAAAGAAAAAAATGAATCTTGAAGAAGGCCCCACTAGAGTGAAGGGTGTAGCTCAGGGAGAAAGTACCCGTCTAGCATGTATCATGTCTTGAGTTCTGTTCCCAGCATGGACAAGAACAAACAAGCCATACTCCTGCTCATGAGCAGAACACTGCTCATGAGTAGTGCAGGCTGTTCTAGATACCCAGGAATGCCACCCAGCAAAAGCCTGGAACCTTCTGAAAGAGGCCAGGGACCAAAGCAAGAGGATGCCAGACCTAGGCTGACTGACCTGTGTCCTGGGTTCCCTGCCTTTCAGCCAGGGAAAGAAGCAAAGGTCCCGAATGTCCACTCAAGCAGCCCTTTCCCTACAACTGAGGAGCACCTGGTGCTTTCTGGAGATTAGCTTTAAATCCCCAAAGTCAACACATAGATAGTCCAAGATTTCCTCCAGGTGTACAAAGTCCTGCAAAGTCAAGGCTAGAGGTGTGGTTCACGGGGCAGAGCACCTGCCTAGAAAAGTCAAGTCCCTGAGGTCAATCCCTGGTGCCACCCAAGTCCTGCAAAGTCAACACCACGGATGCTCTCAAAATCCCCCTTGACCTGTCATGTGGAAAGAAAAGGACTCATATACTGTCAATCACAATGAAATGAATTCCTTCCTGGAATCCAAGCCAGAGACACAAAGTAGGAGGAGACAGGAAACGAGCAGATTTAACAATGAAGATGACAGCTTTGGGGGGACATAGAATCCAGCCCCCAAGCAACGCCCCCCTCAGGACACTTACCGAGCCACTAAAGGAGAGGAAGAGCTTGAGGATGACATCGTCGGAGAACGGAGGGTGCCGGGCCACCAGGTTAATGAAGCGCTTCAGGGCCCTCCTCCGGCCCTCGATGAACTCCCTGTCCGCTAAGGAAGAGTATGGGGTCACCACACAGAGTGGGGCCCAGCTCTGAACAGCCTCCCAATTACAAAAGGTCAGGGAGGTTACATAGCTAACAGAGCAGGCCTGTCAGGACAAGGGCCCTGAGAGCATAGAGCAGTGGCAGAGCCACATTTGCATGACCCCACATATAAACACTTGATTCAGGAACTACCAGGCAAAGCCAAGATCCATTTCAATCAAAACTACTGAGAGCTGAGTAAAGTGGCACACACCTGTAATCCTAGCACTCAGAAGGCAGGAGCATAGGGCTGGGAAGGTGGCTCAGTGGTAGAGCACTTGCCTTGCATGCCTGAGGCCCTGGGTTCGATTCCTCAGCACCACATAAGAAAAAAAGCCGGAAGTGGCGCTGTGGCTCAAGTGGTAGAGCACTAGCCTTGAGCTGAAGAGCTGAGGGACAGCGCCCAGGCCCAGAGTTCAGGCCCCATGACCGGACCAAAAAAAAAAAACAAAACAAAAAAAAAAAACAGAAGGCAGGAGCATGGAGAGTTCCAGGCCAGCCTGACCTATATAGCAAGACCTTGTCTCAAAAAAAAGACTACTATCGGGGCTGGGAAGGTGGCTCAGTGGTAGAGTGCTTGCCTTGCATGCATGAGGCCCTGGGTTCAATTCCTCAGCACCACATAAGCAAAAAGAAAAAAGCCGGAAGTGGCGCTGTGGCTCAAGTGGTAGAGCGCTAGCCTTGAGCTGAAGAGCTGAGGGACAGCACCCAGGCCCAGAGTTCAGGCCCCACGACCGGAACCGCCCCCCCCCCCAAAAAAAAAGACTACTGTAAACGAGGTGTGAACTCTCACTGACCCCAGCATCTTCTCTAAACCCTTCCTTGCATTTCCTCTATCAACACACTCTTATGCTGATACAAATAAATGAAACTGTGTTTTCCAACTGTCATCACTTACAACCCACATAATGAGCCTTACACATGTTAGCCAAGCACTCTACCACTGAGCTACATCTCTACCCCTGAATCTAATTAACTTCATTCATTTGGGATGTTTTCATTTCAAGGGAAAAATGTAAGATGGTAGCTAAGGCCTATAATCCTAGCTACTTAGGAGGCTGAGATCTGAGGACAGCCCAGGCAGAAAAGTCTGAGAGACTCCATTTCCAATTAAAGAGCAAAAAGCAGAGCTGGAATCAGGCACAAGTGCCTCTTACCTATAATCCTAGACACACAGGAGGCTGACATCTGAGGATCGCAGTTTGAAGCCAGCCCAGGCAAACAAATATGCAAGACTCATCTCCAATTAACCCCCAAATAAGCTAGAAGTAAATGCATGGCCAAGTGGTAGAGTGCCAGCTATGAGCAAGAAGGCTAAGAGCACAAGTCCTGGAGCTCAAGCCCCATTATCAGCAAAAAGGGGGAAAAAAGAAAAAGAATTGGCAAATAAAAAGATATAGAAGCCAGAAGCTGGGCGCTGGTGGCTCACGCCTGTAATCCTAGCTACTCAGGAGGCTGAGATCTGAGGATCGCGGTTCAAAGCCAGCCCGGGCACGAAAGACTGTGAGACTCCTATCTCCAATAAACCACCAGAAAACCAGAAGTGGTGCTGTAGCTCAAGTGGTAGAGCACTCGCCTTGAATTGAAGAGCTGAGGGACAGCACCCAGGCCCAGAGTTCAAGCTCCAGGACCAACCAAAAAAAAAAAAAAAAAAGATATAGAAGCCAAATGCCAGTGGCTCACACCTATAATTCAAGCTATTCAGGAAGCTGAAATCTAAGGATGTAAGTTGAACAAATCCAGACAAATCCAAGAGACTCTTATCTGCAATTAACCAGCAAAATACTGGAAGTGAGGTGTAGCTTACATGGTAAAGTGTCAGCGTGGAGTGAAAAAGCTAAGCAAATACACAATGCCCTGAGTTCAAGTCCCAGTACCAGCACCAAAAATAAAATAACTTTTTCTAGATATGTGATGAAATTGGCTGTAATCTACAAGCCACAGAATTCATAAGGTCAAAATTTAATGTACAGATACAAAACTAAAACCTTGAAGATTGTCTTCAAATACCATTCTGGCTCTGCCCTTAGTAATACTTGCAAAAATTAGTGTAAAATTTTTTATACTTGATCAATATATTTCTTTGTCAGGCTTTTAACTACCTAGAAAACTGAATCATAACTAAATCAGAGTTCATTTAACTACTTGTCTACATGTAAGTTTTTAAGGTTTTTTGGTCAGTTGTAGGGCTTAAAATTAAAACTCAGGGCCTGAGTGCTGGACACCTGAGCTCTTCTGCTCAAAGCTAGTGCTCTACTACTTTGAGCCACAGCTCCACTTGCTGCTTTCTGGCAGTTAACTAGAGGTAAGAGTCTCACAGACTTTCCTACCTGGGCTGGCTTCAAACTATGATCCTTAGATCTTAGCCTCCCGAGTTGCTAGGATCACAGGTTTTAGCCACTAGTACCCAGCTAGAAGTCTTTTGTTGTTGTTGTTTTTGGTTGGTTGTGGGGCTTGAACTCTGGGCCTGGGCTCAGTCCCTGAGCTCTTCAGCTCAAATCAAGAGCTCTACCAATTGAGCCACAGCTCCACTTCCAGTTTTCTGGTGGTTAATTGGAGATGAGTCTCATGGATTTTCCTTGCCTGGACTGGCTTTGAACCATGATCCTCAGATCTCAGCTTCCTGAGTAGCTAGGATTACAGGCATGAGCCACAGTGCCCAGCTGGAAGTCTTGTTTTTTTGTTTTGTTTTTTTTTTTTTGGGTCCGGTCATGGGGCCTGAACTCTGGGCCTGGGTGCTGTCCCTTAGCTCTTCAGCTCAAGGCTGGCGCTCTACCATTTGAGCCACAGCGCCACTTCCGGCTTTTTTCTTTTTGTTTATGTGGTGCTCAGGAATCAAACCCAGGGCCTCATGCATGCAAGGCAAGCGTTCTACCACTGAGCAACCTTCCCAGCCCCCAGCTGGAAGTCTTGTAAGTGAGTAATTTACAACTGTGGAAAAACAAACTGCTTTAAGTGTTCTTAACTGAATTATTGACCTAAACATAGTTAGAGAGCCAAAGCATGCAAGTTTAGTACAGGTGAAATAAGCAGCTAATGCTACTAATCTACTGTGTCTGACCTAAAGGAGATAAAATGGTCAGTAAAAATTTTTAGCATTTCTGCTGTTGGTAATAAGTATGTTGAAGATAAAAACTCTGCCATTGGGCTGGGCACCAGTGACTCACTCCTGTAATCCCAACTATTCAAGAGGCTGAGATGTGAGAATCATGATTCCAAGCTAGCTCAGGAAGAAAAGTAAGACCCTTATTTCCAATTAACCATAAAAAAGCCAGAAGTAGAGCTGTGGTTCAAGTGACAGAGCAATAGCCTTGAACAATAAAAAAGCTTGAAGTGGGGCTGGGAAGGTGACTCAGTGGTAGAGCTCTTGCCTTGCATGCATGAGGCCCTGGGTTTGATTCCTCAGCACCACATAAGCAAAAGAAAAAAAAGCTGGAAGTGGCGCTGTGGCTCAAGTGGTAGAGTGCTAGCCTTGAGCTGAAGAGCTGAGGGACAGCACCCAGGCCCAGAGTTCAGGCCCCATGACCGGACCCAAAAAAAAAAAAAAAAAAAAAAAGCTTGAGGGATAGCACCCCGGCCCGGAGTTCAAGCCCTAGGATGAATGGACACACATACACACACACACACACACACTACCATTCCATCTGTACAATCCTGCTATTTAAAACCTGGCCTTACATCTACTGGTCTTAATTAAATGAGTGTTACTGTATACATAAGTTGCACTTATACAAGAAATTAAAGAGGGCTGGGAAGTTGGCTCAGTGGTAGAGCGCTTGCCTTGCATGCCTGAGGCCCTGGGTTCGATTCCTCAGCACCACATAAGCAAAAAGAAAAACGCCAGAAGTGGCGCTGTGGCTCAAGTGGTAAAGCGCTAGCCTTGAGCTGAAGAGCTGAGGGACAGCACTCAGGTCCAGAGTTCAGGCCCCATGACTAGACCAAAAAAAAAAAAAAAAATTAAAGAATATTTAGGGCTCTGGAACTGTTCCCTCTGACTTGTAAGAGACAGGGGTCTGTGATGTCTTACTAAGACAAAGATCCTAAATTTTGCTCCAGGAGTAAAACTACAGTAATAGTATGTGTGACATGTGTGTAATTGACACTAACTGTTGCTGGCTTCTTCATATGTTCAATGTATTCAGGCTCCCTAAGTATAGAAGTCTAGAATGTAAAGCTTAGAGAAAAAACTTTACCAAGCAAATATCCCCTCTAACTTAAAACTGTCAGTGATCAAGTCTTTTACTCATGTCAGAAGGACAGTACCTGCTAGTGTAATACTGTCAATCATCATCGTTATCCTAACCTGCAGTGTACAATGGGAGGAAGGACACTGTTCTGTCAATTGCTATAGTGCTTTAAAGAATTTGCCAGCATGACAGTTTTGGCCCTTCTCTGGAGCATTTGCAGAAGATCTCATTAAAAATGACTCTAGCCAGACGCTGATGACTCATGTCCGTAATCCTACCTTCTCAGGAGGCTGAGATCTGAGGATCCTGGTTGGAAGTCAGCCCAGGTAGGAAAGTCTATGAGACTCTTAACTCCAATTACCCACCAGAAAAACAGAAGTGTCACTGTGATTCAAAGTAGGAGAGCATTAGCCATGAGCAAAAGAGCTCAGGCACAGTGCCCATGCCAACAAAAAAATAAAAATAAAAAATTCTTCTTGGGGCTGGGAAGGTGGCTCAGTGGTAGAGCGTTTGCCTTGCATGCATGAGGCCCTGGGTTCGATTCCTCAGCACCACATAAGCAAAAGAAAAAAAAGCTGGAAGTGGTGCTGTGGCTCAAGTGGTAGAGCGCTAGCCTTGAGCTGAAGAGCTGAGGGACAGCGCCCAGGCCCAGAGTTCAGGCCCCATGACCGGACCCCCCCCGCCCCCCCCCCCAAAAAATTTCTTCTTGCAAAACTCTAAAGACATGGTCTGCTGACATTCTGCAGGACAGTCTCTAACAAGAGCAACCTGGGCAGAATTTTGAGATGCTTCTAGGACAATTAGACTTAATGAAATGTCAGGTAAGCCAGCCTTAACTTTTTTATGCTTTCAATTTGTACTGACTCATATATGCCCTGCCCTGCCCTTCCCTTCCCTTCCTACAGGGAATAAGACCAGATCCTCTGAGAAAAAGCTAATCCCAGCAACAAGGAACTCTGAAGAGCTGCAGAGTGTTTAATTGGCAAAATCTTCAGAAAGCTCTTCAGAGACAGTTTGAGAAAAACTGCTCGAATAATAGGGGAAATTGTCAAAATTCACATGGAGTCACTTGTGAAGGCCCTTCCAAAAATAAACAAAGCCCAACAGATTTAAGAGGCTTCCTTATACATACATGGCCATCTGTCTTCAAGCCCTTCCAGGGATTCCACTGACAAAAAGCAAACTGCTATCTTTTGGCAAAGGCCTCCTATACAATGTATTTCATTGGACGTCCTGATCTTCTTTCTTTTCTTCTTTCTCTTTCTTTCTTTTTCTTTCTCTTTCTTCTTTCTTTCTTTTCTTTCTTTCTTTCTTTTTTTCTTTTTCTTGTCAGTTATGGGGCTTTGAACTCAGGGCCTGGGCACTGTTCCTCAGCTCTTCTGCTCAAGGCTAGTGATTTACCACTTGGAGCCACAACACCACTTCTGATTTTCTACTGGTTAGTCAGAGATAAAGAGTCTCACAGACTTTCCTGCTCAGGCTGGCTTTGAATTGCCATCTACAGATCTCAGCCTCCTGAGTAGGTAGGATTACAGGTAAGAAAAGCCCAGCAGTCCTGACTTTTTTCCTCTATGTTCTGCTTTATAATAGTGTTTCTAGTTTTAGGCTTTTTTTTTTTTTTTTTGGGAGGGTCCAGTCGTGGGGCCTGAACTCTGGGCCTGGGTGCTGTCCCTCAGCTCTTCAGCTCAAGGCTAGTGCTCTACCACTTGAGCCACAGTGCCACTTCTGGCTTTTTTCTTTTTGCTTATGTGGTGCTGAGGAATCAAACCCAGGGCCTCAGGCATGCAAGGCAAGTGCTCTACCACAGAGCCACCTTCCCAGCCCCGGCTTTTTTTTTTTTTTTTGTCAGTTGTAGGGCTTGAACTCTGGGCCTGGGCACTGTTCCTCAGTTCTTCAGCTCAAGGCAAGCACTCTACCACTTGAGCCAGAGCACCACTTCCAGTTTTCTGGTGGTTTACTGCAGATAAGAGTCTCACAAGCCGGGCGCTGGTGGCTCACGCCTGTAATCCTAGCTACTCAGGAGGCTGAGATCTGAGGATCATGGTTCAAAGCCAGCCCGGGCAGGAGAGACCGTGAGACTCTTATCTCCAATAAACCACCAGAAAACCGGAAGTGGCGCTGTAGCTCAAGTGGTAGAGCGCTCGCCTTGAGCTGAAGAGCTGAGGGACAGCGCCCAGGCCCAGAGTTCAAGCCCCACGACCGACAAAAAAAAAAAGAGTCTCACAGACTTTCCTGCCCGGCTTGGCTTTGAACCATGATCCTCAAATCTCAGCCTCATGAGTGACTAGGATTACAGGCGTAAGCCACCAGCACCCAGCTTAGTTTTAGGCTTAAACAAGTACTTTTTACTTACAGATTCCAGCTCTTTGTCTTACCATGGAAGCCTAATTCCCTCAAGACTGAAGAAGCTTCAAACTCAATTGGGGGTGAGGGAGAGTATAAAAGACTGCCAAAAAGCTGCTTTTTCTAGGCCTGCAAATTAACTAAGAACTGGACACCCAGCCCCCAACTTGGGATCTGTGCTCTTTGATCTGAGCTGTTCCCTGCCGCAGTCACTTTACTTGAGCTCCAGGAAGAACAGGAGTTACAGATAAGTATCCTGTGACAGAAGACCAGCTGCCCCTTCCACAGAAAAAGCCTTCTTATCTAAAACAGAACAGCCAAAAGCTCAGCAGACCAACCACCAGGCAACTTGTTCCAGTTCCCAGTTCAGTTCTAAAGAGCTAACAACTTCTCCAGAGATACAGACTGAGTTGCTGGTCAACCAGGCCACACTCTGACCTGGAACTGCATTAACTCTCACATTCCTTTCTCACCCCATCCCCAATGTTCCTTATTTATGAAGCCAATGTCTATATGCTGAACATGTACTAAAGTGCTATCTTCCCATAGCTGCCTTGGAGTAAATCTTTCTCTGCCCTTCTCCATGTCTGGAATATGAGGATAAGTATCTGGACCTAACATGGCACTCCTGGACTTTAGGCCTGGGTCTAAAAACCTGGTTTCAAGCACTCCCTGCATCTCAAGTTATCCTGCCAAAAGGAATCTTTATCCTGCCAAAAGGAACCACTGGACCAAGGATGCTAGAAGCCAGTCTCCCCCCTTTCATCATAGGATGGCTAGAGGTTTATGTCTACCAAGGCCTTTTGACCAACCTATACTGACTGTAAGGCAGGAGCATTGGAAGGATTAGGGTCCACAATGAGATGTAACAGCCCTCCTCCAGGAGAAAGGCTCAATTCTGCCCTCTCCACCCCACCAGGGAGCTTGCACCACCTCACCTCCCAGCATTCTCTTGGGTGGAAGGGCTGGCACCATGCGGTATGGGAACTTGTGGAGCAGCATTTCATGGAACACCACGAAGTCATTGTAACGTCTATACACAGAGGACTTGAAGCGCTACAAAATGAGAGTTCAGTGATCAGACTACACATCAGAAATCAAGAGTTCATCACCCTCTTTCGTTCTCCCACCATGCAACAGAAACCACAGAAACAACACCCCAATTCCTCATCCTTGCGCTGCAGGCCTTTACCAAAAATAAAAATCCTCTAATGCTTTCATATATGAAACATAGTTTTTAAAGTGTGAATAGCTCTTTGTCTTGATAAGACATTTTTCCTTTCTATTTTTCTTTTTTTTTTTTTTTTTAAATTTTTTTTTTGGGTCCGGTCGTGGGGCCTGAACTCTGGGCCTGGGCGCTGTCCCTCAGCTCTTCAGCTCAAGGCTAGAGCTCTACCACCTGAGCCACAGCGCCATTTCCGGCATTTTTCTTTTTGCTTATGTGGTGCTGAGGAATCGAACCCAGGGCCTCGAGCATGCAAGGCAAGCACTCTACTGCTGAGCCACCTTCCCAGCCCTCCTTTCTATTCTTCTGTACTGGGGATTAAACTTGGGGACTCAACACTTGCTAGAGAGGTGCTCTACTACTTAAGCTATACCCCTGACCCTTTTGCTTTTAATTTCTCAAAAAGGGTCTCAAGTTTTAGATTAGGCTAGCCTCAGCTGCAACCTTCTCTGGCAGTGCGGCTCAAGTGGTATCTAGCAAACACAAGTCAAAGGCCTTGAGTTCAAACCCCAGTACCACAAATAAATGAATTAGTTAATTAAACAAAGTACCAATTGACTACATAAAACCTACATCTCCATGTGCGCTCAGGATATCCACTCCACCCCTGCCTTCATCTTGCAGACTCATACAGACAAGGAGCAAGAAGGACACAGACAGAGGAAAACTGCTATAACACTGCCACTGGCTCTAGTGAGTAGGTGGACATCCACTCTCAGGTGCCTGGGCAGAAGGCCTTCATCATGGGACTCCATCTATTTAAGGGACCAACAGCTCAAAAAGCCTGGAAGAGTCAGGTATGGTGGTGTATTCTTGTAATCCCAGTACTTGGGAAGCAGAGGTAGGAAGATCATGAGCTGCAGACCCAGACTGTCTCAAAATAAACATAAAGTATGGATGAAAGTCCAGAAGCTAGCTACTAGAGTTAAGTGGCAGCTTCTTGCAATGAGGCCCTCCTGTCCTGGGGGAAAAAAGGATCTCTGCACCAGCCACAGCCATAGCCACAGAGTGAGCACATAGTAATCAAGCCACGGTGAGAGCTTCCTTGTCCTGAAGTGCTCCAGAGGCAGCGGTTCTGCCTTCACCTCCAGCCTTTCTCCCAGCAGAAGGTAGTGCAGCCCCAGGCTGCAAGACTCACTGCAGCCTGCCCTGACAAGACATCTGCTCACTTTTGTCCTGGGACCAGATGTCCAAAAGCCTTTTCCCAAGAACTCTTGGTAGCACCAGGATTGCCTTCCCCTCCATTCCCCTTCTCAGGGGTGTGGCTCCACATTGACCTTGCAAACCCAGGGCTGGGGGGGGGTGGGGGGTGGGCCTAACAACAACCTCCAACTAAGAGGAAAGAACAAAAGTCCCTCCAAACCCATCCTAAGTGAACCAATATGCTGAAAGACCTACACTGCCCACGCCAGGTAGAGCACAGCGCCTGCTGCCTCGGTGCTGCATCTATCAGGCTCTGACACTGGGTGCCCCCACAGCAGGAAGCTAAAGGGGACCTGTTGAGCCTGCGCAATGTCTGCCCTCCATGCCACTCTGGCCTGGAACTGTCCTAAGCTCCCCCTCCACACAGCTCCCAGGTACCTGGCTGGAAACCTCATACTCCACATGCTTGAGGAAGAGGCCCTTCTTCTCGGGGATGAGCTCCACCTGCACAGTATCACGGGCCAGCAGCTCCTGCAGGCTATAGGACAGCAGCAGCGGGTTCCCCTGGGGCCGCTGCATTCGACTGGAATCGGAGAGCCTGCGCTCAATGTCCTGGGGCATTGGCAGGCCTGTGGGAGAGAGAAGGTGAACACCCAATAGGGCCAGTTGCTCAGTTCATGGGGCCTCCCAGCAACCCTGCTGACTCAACTCGTGGACTCTGGCCATGGCACGTGGCTAGAACCACCCCCATCAAGACATTACCTTGCCCACTCTGTGGAGCCAGCACTGAGATGCACACTGATCTCCCCCAAAGAATCACTATGAGGAGGTATCACCCACTTGCCCATTAGTGAAAACAAACAGAACACAACTCAAGGGTGAGGGAGCCACTGAAGAAGGGGCAAAGGCTTACAGAGATGTTATACCAAAGATGTGCAAATAACCACTGGCCCACACTAGTAATCCTTGAGGGTATGGGGGATGCTGAGAAGGGAGATCATAGTTCCAGGGCAGCCCAGACAAAAAGTTAGTAAGACTCCATCTCAACCAATAATAAGCTGAGTGTGGCAGCACACACCTCTCATCCTGGCTATATAAATTCATACAAAGGGGAACTGAGGTTCAAGGCTAGCCCCCAGCATAAAGGGGAGACCCTATCTCCAAAATAACAAAAGCAAAAAGTGCTGGGGATATAGCTCAAGTGGTAGAGCAACCAGTCTGGAAACCCTGAGTTCAAATCCCAGTACTTCCAAAGGAGGGGGAAAAAAAGGTACTAATGCCAATAGCACATAAAAAGATGCCCAACACCAATAACCACCAGGGAAATACAAAGTGTAACCACAGGAAGACATCACAAAGTAATGATCCTAATAAAAAAATAAAAAATGTTTAAAAGTCAATCACAAGGCAGACATCCTAGCTAGTCAGGAGGCTGAGATCCAGAGGATTGGCATTAAAAGCCAGCTCTGAGAGAAAAGTCCATGAGATTCCAGCAACAAAATAATCAGCAAAATGCCAGACTGGGGTGTGGCTCAAATGGTAGAACACCAGCCAATTAAGCATGAGACCCTGAGTTCCAGCTTCAATACACACACACACACACACACACACACACACACACACACACACACACACACACACACACACACGTTGGCCAGATAAAATTCCATACATTTGCAGTGGTTATATCCACAAAACTAGGGCAGATCCTCTGAACAAGGTACAAAGCTACCTTATAATGCAACAGTTCTACTGCTAGAAAGATGCCCAACAAAAATGAAAACATATATGTACTGAAGAGACAAGAGTTGAGCTGGGCACTGGTGGCTCACACCTGTAATCCTTCTACACAGGAGTCTGAGAGATCTGAAGATCAAGGTTCAAAGCCAGCCCAAACAGGAAAGTCTGTAAGGCTCCTATCACCAATTAACCACCAGAAAGCTGGAAGTAGTGCTGTGGTTTAATGTGGCAGAGTGCTAACTTTGATCAAAAGAAGTTCAGGGACTGTGCCCAGGACTGGCAAAAAAAAAAAAAAAAAAGCGAAAGACATGGAGGCATGTCTAGAGTAGGCACAAGGCCCTGGTATAATCCCCAATATCACAAAAAAAAAAAAAAAAAAAAAAAAAAAAAGCTCACACCTGTAATCCTAGCTACTCAGGAGGCTGAGATCTGAGGATCGCGGTTCAAAGCCAGCCTGGGCAGGAAAGTCCGTGAAACTCTTATCTCCAATAAACCACTAGAAAACCGGAAGTGGCGCTGTAGCTCAAGTGGTAGAGCGCTCGCCTTGAGCTAAAGAGCTGAGGGACAGCGCTCAGGCCCAGAGTTCAAGCCCCACAACCAAAAAAAAAAAAAAAAAAAAAGTATTTTCCAAGACAGCATGTGAGCTCAGTAATGATTATCAAATGACCACACATTGGTGAACAACTTGAACTTTGATCACATGAGCATCTAAAAGATGCAACTCAAAAAACACATTGTAGCCAGGTACTGGTGCTCACAGCTGTAATCCTAGCTATTCAGGAACTGAGATTGAGGATCACCGTTTGAAGCCAGCCCAAGCAGGAAAGTCCATGAAACTCTTGTTTCTAATTAATCTCTAGAAAACCAGAAGTAGAGCTGTGGCTCAAAGTGGTAGAGCACTAGCCTTGAGAGAAAAACCCTGAGGGACAGTGCCTAGGTCCTGAGTTCAAGCCCCACAACCAACCAAAAAAACAAAAAACAAAACCAACACATTTTGCTCTAACCCTGACCACTCTCCAGCTTGCCCACAACCCTCTGTGGAAGTTTCACTCACTGGAAGGGATGAATCCAAATACAAATCTACTAGAGTACATACCCATGTTTTAAAACAAATGCTAATTAAGAAAAAGACTTCGAGCCAGGAAGCAGTGGCTGATCCCTATAACCTTAGTTACTCAGGAGGCTGAAATCTGAAGATCATAGTATAAAACCAGTCCAGACAGATAAATCCACAAGACTCTTATCTCTATTAACCATCAAAAAGCCAAAGGTGGAAGGAAGGGGTGACATTGTCCAAAGAGAAATATACTCATTACCTAACATAAAATGGTAACTTCTCTGTACAACAACTTAATAATAACAAAATTATATTTTTTTAAAAAGCCAGAGGTGGAGGTATGGCCCAAGTGGTAGAGTGCCAGCCTTAAGTGAAAAAGCTAAGGATAGTGCCCAGGCCCTGAGTTCAAGCCCCAGTGCCAAAAAAAAGGAAAGAGAAGAAAAGGAGGAATGAGACCCTAAATTCCAAGCATGGCCAAAAAAATAGAAAAAAGGAAAGAGGATCATGTTCACAGATATGGCCATGGTTGAGGTGTGAGTGATGCCTGGAACTAGCAACCCCCCTCCACAAACACATCATGCCCTTCTGCCAACATTGAGTGCAATCACAAGGAAGATCTCTGGCATCAGAAAGCTGCAGGATCCCTGCACATGGGCAGCTGCCCTACAGTCCTGCACCAGAGAGCATGGCGTACTCTGTCTTCCCGCAGTGGTTTAGATGCTCTTACCTCACCGTATCAATCAACAGCCTCTTGGGCGCCTTCCAAGCTGCTGGAACTCATTACTGAGGACGTCTCATCCAAATCCTCTCTGGCCTATAGGCTCAGTTCAGGGAGTATTTTCCAGCCCTGAGCATCTCCAAATTTTCCTTCACATGTTCACAAGGAGTTGGAGTTTCTTCAATCCGTCTTCGTCATGGATTGCTCCCAAATCACAACATGTAATCCCGTAAGTAGCTCTGATTTCCTAACACTATGTAACGTGGGAGTAGTCCATATCATGTGGACCCACAGAGGGCTTTGTGATAGACAATGGAGAAACCACACTCAAAGAATAAAGCCAGGAGCTGGGAAGATGGCTCTGTGGTAGAGTGCTTGCCTTGCGTGCATGAGGCCCTGGGTTTGATTCCTCTGCACCATATAAGCAGAAAAAGCCAGAAGTGGCACTGTGGCTCAAGTGGTAGAGTGTTAGCCTTGAGCTAAGAGCTGAGGGACAGCGCCCAGGCCCAGAGTTCAGGTCCCACAACCGACAAAAAAAAAAAAGAACAATGCCAGTCCCCGAACTCACAGCATGTAGTCACTGATTAGAAATGAAATATAAACCTAAATGTACAAGTTAAACTACAGAACACTTGGAGGAAAATAGAGGAGAAAATTTTCATGTCTGTGGGTTAGGCCAAGACTTTTCAGACATAACACCAAAACATAACTAACAAAAGATCAAAGCTGATAAACTAGACTTGGCAAAATTAGAAACTGAGCTGGATGTAGTGGCTCATACCCAAAACCCTTAGTTACATAGGAGGTGGAGGTCAGGATGATGAGATTTGGGGCCAGTCAGAGAAAAAAAAGTCTTCAAGACTACATCTCAACCAATAAAAGCTAGGCATGGTGGTTCACACCTGTTATCCAAACATAAAGAGGAGGATCACAGTTTAGGATAGCCCAGGCAAAATGCAAGGGCTTTCAAAAATGCAAGAGCTTTCAAAAAATAACACACACACACACACACACACACACACACACTTTCTCTCTCTCTCTCTCTCTCTATCTCTATCTCAGAGTAGCAGGAAAGATCCTTTAAAGGAAAGGGCAAGTGACTAGAGCACAAAACAGGCAAGAAATCATGGGTCTTCCTCAGATATCATGTAACTGAAGCTCAGGGCTGAAAATTCTGACCTCTGATGAGCTCCTCTGACTCAGAGACGTGAGGGACCAGCAACTACCACACCCCACTTACCCATGAACCGCAAGGTCCATTCTGAAAGGACCTATTCCACTGGGTAAGATAGCTCAAACCTATAATCCTAGCTACTTGGGAAGTAGAGATCAGTTCAAGGACAGCCCAGGTATAAAAATTTATAAGATTCCCATCTCAACTCATGGCTGGGTGCAGTGGCATGCACTTGTCATTCAGACAACAAAGGAAAGCACAAGTAGGAGAATCACATTCCTGGCTGGTCTGGGTCTATAAGCATGATCCTAATAACCTAAGATCCTAAGATAAAAAATAACCAACCCCGGGGCTGGGAAGATGGCTCAGTGGTAGAGCGCTTGCCTTGCATGCATGAGGCCCTGGGTTCGATTCCTCAGCACCATATAAACAAAAAGAAAAAACCGGAAGTGGCGCTGTGGCTCAAGTGGTAGAGTACTAGCCTTGAGCTGAAGAGCTGAGGGACAGCACCCAGGCCCAGAGTTCAGGCCCCATGACCAGACCCAAAAAAAAAAAAACAAAAAACCAACCCCAAAAAAGGCTGAGGATGTGGCTCAAATAGTAGAGCACCTGCTTGGCAAGTACAAGGCCAAGTTCAAAACTCAGTACTAGCTGGTGGCTCACACCTGTAATCCTAGCTACTCAGGAGGCTGATATCTGAGAATCACGGTTTGAAGCCAGCCCAACAGGAAAGTCCGTGAAACTTTTTTTTTTTTTTTTTTTGGTCAGTCATGGGGCCTGAACTCTGGGCCTGGGTGCTGTCCCTCAGCTCTTCAGCTATAGACTAGCGCTCTACCACTTGGGCCTCAGCCCCACTTCTGGCTTTTTTCTGCTTATGTGGTGCTGAGGAATCGAACCCAGGGCCTCATGCATGCAAGGCAAGTACTCTACCACTGAGCAA